ACAGAACAGGGTAATTTTAAGGGGTGACTTCACTTTGTAACAACTCACTACAAAAATTACAAAAGGTCCTACAAAAACTATATTAGTCTCTTCCAAGGGTGAAACCCCCAGTGACCTAATTATCTCCGAGTGGGCCCTATTGCATAAAAGTTCCACTACTTTCCAATACTGCCACACTTGGAACCAAGCTTCCAGCACATGAACCTTTGGGGTGCACACTGAAATAATATCTAAACTATAACAGAATTATACTAGATTGAGACAAGAGAGACCAATAACCACATGAAGTCATTAAGTCATGATCAAACGAGGGGAAATTAAGTACAAGGTCAGTATAGTGGAAAGCAAACATCCTTTAACTGGCCATTTTATATAAGGCCACTTAGGACATCCCCTAGTCTAGGAGCTACTCCCACAAACTCTCAAGGTTCTTCAAACATAAATTTGCAGAGGTCTTAAAATTCCTTCACAATAGGCAATCCTCCTGGAGAAGAACCTATAACTTTAACAGGAATTGTTGAGATCTAATTCTTGTTATAGGAGCCTGCCTCTGTAAACAATAAGGATCTGGGGAAGTTCTGAGGTTTAAACTTCTCAGTCCAAATATCCCCATCTCCTTTCCCACCATTTCCCTTACTGTAACTTGAGAGATCTGGTCTCTCAGGGACTAACACTAACTGGAGCTGCGACTCCGCAACCCTTAAAACCAAACCTGAGTTTGTCCCAGAACTGCCCTGTGAGCACAGATAAGAAACCAATTCAAAGATGCCATGGAGACTCTCTAGCACTGAATTTTCTACTTCTATGTTCATAGGTTTTTGGTTGGTTGGTTACTTGTTTTCCTTTTCCTACATACCTTTCTCCAGAGCTGTTGTGAGGTATCCACAAAATCTTTATAATTAGAGTTAAAACTCCCCATAATGACGATGTGCCATAACCATTTGGTCCATCAAGGTCTTCTACTCCAATTGCACTTCATTCCACACTAATACACAGTGACAGTTTTAGTTGTGGTACCACCATATACCATAATTTACTACTATCTCATTGCCCTGATCCAAAAAATGACCTTTCAACCTTGTCCTCTTCAAATACAATTTTAAGGAACAGTTTCTGGTACCCACTACTGTAGCAGTCATGGTGCCAAAAGGAAGATATCACAAACTCAAATCACAACCTGAGGACATGATGGTTAATTTTAGGTGTCAGCTTGACTGGATTTAGGGATATGTAGACAGCTAACAAGGCATTAATTCTAGGTATGTATGAGATGGGTGTTTCTGGAAGATTGGCACTTTAATCAGTGTGTTGAATAAAGAAGATCCCCCTCACACAATGTGGCAGGTACCATCCAAATGGCTTAACAAAAAATGCAAAAGTGAATATATGCTTGTGAGCTAGCATGCAAGTGCACACTTGCTTTCTCTTCTGGAACTGCAATACCCATCTTCTGCCCTTGGACATCACAACACCAGATTCTCAGGTCTTCAGCCTTAGACTGAAAAGTTCTACCATGCATGGCCCTGGTTTTCCAGCTTTAGGGCTTGGACTGTCATATGCTACCAGCTTCCCTGGTTCACAAACTGCAGAAAGAATATAATGGATCTCAACCTTTGTAACAAATCCCCCCTCAATTTCCTATTTCTCTGGAGAATCCTAATACAGAAGATTTCAGAAAGACCATGTAAACAAAAGAGTACAAGAACACCTCAGGGATATTAAGGTAAGCAGAACTGAGCTCAAAGGGACAGTAAAGGAGTCGCTACTGGAGATCACCTTTAGTTGAGGAACACAATTCAAGTTGACCCTGAAAGAAAGAAGCCATAGAATGCCTAAGTTCATGTCTCTCCCTCCAATTTCCTAATGGGGCTCTACGCTGACCAAACCAATCATGAGCTGGGGAGAAGAACATATCCAACCTAGACAGCCTGCCAGGGACAGAAGAGGAGAGAGTCTGAAGGAGCTCCAGAAGACATCCCACGTTCAGTATACAGAGCCTCTGGATCCAAATCCTACCAACTTTTCATTATACCTATTAAAAAGTTCGGAGAAGGGGAGAATAAGAGATTTTCTCTTCCTTTCCCCAGCAGTGTCTTCCTAACTGGCTAGTTTTTCCCATATAATCACAAAGCCCATGTTATCAACGGAGGTAAGGATAGTTAATTTCTTTTTGAAAATCCTAACCCTTAATATTCAAGCATAATTCAGCCCATGTCTATTTTTATGAGTTCTAGTCAGGGGCAGAGACTGTACAAACCAACAAAAAATTTCTTAGTCTTGATAAACGGGTTCAATAAGTGTTCACCTGAACCTGGAATACTACCTGAGGATGAAAGTGTGGACAACTGCCTTTTCTGCTACTGCAGGGAGATGTTGTGAAAAGGTCAAAAGAAACCAAACAAGATTAACTGGGTCAGATGCTAATCCTAGCTTTCGATGCCAGACAACAAAAATCAAGGTAAGGATTACACAATAAAGTCCATTGTTAAACCAATGAACTAAAAATTTTGCCACCATCCTAGTCTATTACACGGCAACAGTATGGGCTCAGGTTTTGGAGCTAGCCCGAAGTGAAGTTCAAATCCTGCCTCAGTCACTTATTGTGTTACTTTGACCAAATTAATTATTCTCTGGAAATCCCCATTCCTCACCTATGTGTCTAAGTAAGAGTACCTTCCCCACAGGATGAAAAGTAAATGGGAAAATAAATGTCTAATACTTGTTATTGCCCACATTTCTCCAATCTGGCACTCAACAAGTGGGGACCATTAATCCACATATATTATACACCAGGCTCTCCCCATAGGGCAGGTGGCATAAGAGAATTTTTACATAAACTTAGTAGAGCTTTGGCCTTTTTTTTTTTAAGTTATATTTTATTTTTATATGGTGCTGAGGATTGAACCCAGTGCCTCATGCATACTAGGCAAACGCTTCACCCCTGAGCAAAACCCCAGCCCAGCTTCTGCCTTTAAAAAAAAAAAAAAAAAAATTTAATCCTAAGAAAGTCTAACCCAAGTCCTTTTCAATACTTACAGGAATGAATCCTAATTACTGTTTTACCCACCTCCAAAGACTGCTAGTTAGAAAGGTTGCAAAACCATGTTTTCAGCGCACTTTAAAGCTTATTTTATACGCATCAGCCCTTCAGCAGTTTCTAACGGAAGTGTCTTGCTGACAACATTACTTTGAATACCTCGTTATACACCAATAACAGTTCTACTTAAAAATTCAAGAAATCAATTTGTTACAGGGCTTAATATGTCAAAAATGTTCTCTATTGTTTCTAAGAACTTTCTTTACCAATTAATGGCTCCATAGAAAGCAAGAAGCATTTCCCCTTATTCGGAAGAAAAAAAATGAGTCATAGATTAAAAATAGATCCATTTTTGAAAGTTTGGATATCAAAAGACCTTAAGGAAGAATTCTGAAGAAAACCATAGGGCTTCTGAAATTACTTTTCAATGAATAATATAAAGGCCTGTTTTTCAAACTTGAAAAACAGGTGTTATTTTTGATTCTTGGTTATTAAAAGTATTCATGGTGTAGGTGACATTTAGGAAAAAAAAAACGGAAAAACTAAAGTGGAAAATGACTGAAATTTTAGTTGACACCAGAGGTCAATATAAATATGTACTGAAGGAAAGCAACTGTGAACACTTTGATGCTGCACACTGTATTGTCACACCCCAACCTTGATTCTAGAATCCTCTGCAGCCACCGTCCCATTTAGATCCTTCATAACCAAACTACTCAAACAAGTTGTTTACTCCTCGTTGAACAAGCCTCTGCCCTGGCCCCTTTGTCAGTATCAGTAATGGGCTTCACTTCATCAAACCTTCAGAAATGACAAGATTGCAAAAGTCAAAGGAAAAAAAAAATGAACTACCAGACTGAATTGAGACTAATGAAATAAGCAAACAAGATATCTGACCCTGGGTTGGAAGCTTGTACTAAGACAATGACAAAATCTGAACAGGATTCCTGAGTGAAGGGCTATTCAGAAGTTCTCTTACCTTCTTGCAACAACTCGATACTTCACATCCACATTACTTTCCAAGATGTAGGTTAATCACACACAATTTAGCTGTGTTCTGGGCTTGGATGGTAGGGAAAGCACTTTGTATACCTTTGTAACCATGAATGTTACAGTATCCAACTGGTTGAAATTCACCTTAACTGCTTTGTTTCCCAGAAGAGTTAGTGGTATAAATCATCGTCTAACAATACATTACCCAGCAGAAGGATAACCATTTAAACTATCAGGAGCCTAAGAGTGAAACAAGGAAAGAAGAGTATTTCACTTAACATCAAGGATTTGCTAGTAATCCAAGACTAAAATGGCTATAAAAGTAGTCTCAAAATCTGAACTCTGTAAGAAACTCATCAAGCATGGGGAGGGGGGTAACTATGTAACAAGATTTTTTTATTCAGAAGGACATGGATAGACTGTTACAGTTAACTACTTCCATAGAATTCTTTCAATGTTCATGCTTTTTATACTATATAAACTTTAAGTACTTTTCTTCTGACTAGATTTGAGTCTACATTTTACTGAAACCAATTTACAGTTGAAATAGAAATGAGTCATCATGAATCCTTAAGTTCATAAACAAATTAAATAAAATCCCTATGTATAAGTAAAAAAAACTGATTAACAAGAGGAAATAGATACTTCATAAACAAAAATGACAAGTCTGAAATACTCCAAAATCCACTATATAGTTAAGTATATCAAGGAATCCTCTCACTGCAAAGCACTTAGAAGCAAGGAAAAAAAGGAGACTATACATCTTGGTATTTGCATTTTTCCATGTTCATCAGGTAGAGGAAAAAAATATGGGTCCACCCCATCCCATCTCAAAGGTCTTCAAAAGATTTTATACTCAAAAATTGATTCCAAGCATTCATAACAGAAAGGTATTCTATTTGTTAGTAAAACACATTCAAAAACTAATCCATTCATCTTCAGCCTTGTGAAACTGGGAAAACACAAAGACCACATTTCTTACTTTTATTTCAACATTTAAAATATTCACAGGTGGAGAATCATATTCACTGATATCTCCATGGAAGATGTACAAACAAAGTGTACAGGCATTCCACAATTAACAGAATTACATATTTGTGACTATGTGCATGTTTATACTAGAGTATATCTGGAAAAACACTTTCTTAAAAAACTTGAGTGCTTCACTATTATTAATTTCCATAAAAAGTGAACCACAAAAAATTTCAGGAGAATACCTAAATATTGGTCAGCCATTTTTTAATTTTCAAACTTTTATAATATTCTAACATAATCTGTCTAGAACACTTAAATAATCAATATTCAATTCTTTCTCTTTTCTCCTCAGTAGCTAAGCCAAGATGTACTTTCATTTTTCCCACGAAGTCTTTGTTTCTAAATACATTATGTAGAATAGATTCATCATCACAGCATCTTAACTAATTAATGAGGTAGGAATATTCTTTAAGAGAAGTTTTTAAGCAAAGAAAAAAAAAATAACCAAAATGCAAAGGGTTTTTCTTTTTCAGTCGTTGTTCTTTAAAATCCGAAAAGAACTGGAAATTGGTCTAATGTTCATATTTAAAAGAGAAAAAACTGTAGAAGGCCCTGCTACTGAGTATATTAAAGGACAAAACCGGAATACTGACATTAATTAAATTCATTTTTGGCATTACAAAGTAAGATAATATGCCTCAAAATGCCGAGCTTTCTTCTTGGGAGAAATCTTACTGAGGAGATAAAGTTTAAACAGAAAATAAATGTACTCTATTCTTCCGTTTCATTACATACAAGTTAGTCTGTTTTTATTTTAACTCAATTTTCATCCTTACCTACAGAGAAAAATATTAATAATTTCAGTATACTACACATCCAGTAACATAAATGAATTTAGCAGTCAACTTACCATACTGCCAACACTCCTTATAAGATTTTACTAATTTTATACCAAACAACCAGTAAATGCCTAGATGATAGACTACTGTGCCATCTCAGTATAAGTAGATTGTACCCTCTGAATTCATGTAAATCTAGGAAATTTATCCATGATTCCTTCTTCATCTACACCAAAACCAAAGTTCTGTGTAATTAACAACTCTTTCTCTGCGTCAAAAATAATACTTTCAAAAGTATCCAATATAGAACATTCATGTTCCCAAATAAGGGGGCATACCAATCAAGAATGATTTGTCTAAATACATACAGTATGTGAACACATGAGTACCTATTATTTGATAGACTAAACTATCAGGAAAAAAAAAGATCTATTTTAGCAATTTGCACCTAAAAAAAAAAAAAAAAAAAAAGACTAACTATGTGACCTGGCAGATGGTTTTAAAATTAAGTCCCTGAAATTATACTACAAAATGTTTTAAAACATAAGAATCAAACTTGCTAAAAGAATAGTGCAATTCTCTTGATATGGTAGCCCTAAATGGCAGTAACCATTTGAGATCTGCTACCATAAACAACTTGTCGAAAGTTATTTTTACCTCTAAGCCTTTTGTTTTTTACTATTCTACCTAGAATTGTGTTCTCCTATTAATATGATTAAAATCTCAAAAATATCATATCATTTAGTTTGAAGAAAATTCTTTCCTCTTTACATGCCACCTTCCTTAATTTCAGTACGTTTCCTTTACATTCTTTTATTAAGGCACACCATACCCTATTTATTGCTGCAAAGCCCCTGAAACATGCGCCTTAATTATCTGCTTCACTACAGTTAAAATGAAAACTACTTAAAAGCTTTTACTAAAATTAGTAACATTGTGTCTAGAATGTCATTGTCCAGTAGACTAACTGCAAAATAACAAACTCTACTGAACCAAAGGCCAAAAATTCTAAACATGTGATCTTTCCCCTAAAAACTGACCACATTATCTAACTGCACCGGTAAAGCTTAGTGAGCTCTCTGGCTACACATAATTCATACTCAAATATAATAAAATAAAATGTTAGGCCAGTAAGCTTTCACAGTTTTTATTAAATCCTAGTCTAGTTTAACAATATCTGATTTTACAGACATCATCCCATGGTGAACATGTTTACTAAGTGAAAGCTAATCAGACATCTAATTTTCTGTACACTAAGCAGTAAGATAACTACACAGAACACTATGAGGTAATGACATACACCTGCTTAAAGTTTTCATACAAGCCACATTACCAAACTGTATCTGCTCTAATAATTACTACAGATTTAGTGACTGTAGTTCCCTTATTTTAAGTAACTTATTGAATCAACATTTTGACAGTTTCACTGACTTTTCAAATTAGCATAATATATTCAACGAAAAAAGAGTGAAATAAAAATGATTATTATTAAGTGAAAATGAATTTAAAAAAAGAAAGTGACTGGGACAAATTTTAACATTTGGCTTGAAGAGATCATGGATTTCACAAATCTAACGTTAAAAAACTCAAAGCAATACAAATCTTTTTCATGTAAAAACTGAGTTAAAACTAATAGGTCTATAAAACTGTTAATTTTGGCCTTAAAGAATATCTAATCTTTTGATCAAAAAAGGCCACAACAGTTAAGATTGTAATTACTTGATTTTATTTTACACTAAGTGGCGGGCACAAAGCAATCCTCCTTAATAAAGTTGACAATTAGCTCACTCAGAACATTTTTAATAATGCACATTAAAAAAAAGTATTCATCTTACAAATTGTTCTGCAATCCAAATATACAATAGCTTGGAAAACAACGTTTAGAAAACAAAAGCCAATGTAAAAAGACAGATTAAAACAACCAGAACAGTACAGGATTTATATGGCTCAGATTTTACAGTTTTCTTACTGCATCATCAATGTCAGAAATCTGTTCCTTCAGCTGGCTCCATTGCTCAGGATTTAAAGAAATACCTAAAACAAAGTTTAAAAATTCAAAGTTGAAAATCTATTCAAGCTTGCTTGTTTTCATACTTCCAAATAAAATATTATTTTTACAATTGCCATTATTTATTATGATTTTGTTTGGTTGGTTTTTGTTTTTGTAGTGCTGGGAATCAACCCAGAGTCTTGAGTGTACCAACCACCTGCTCTTACCACTGAGCTATATCATTGGCCCCAAAACTACCATTCTGAATGGCACAATGCTATAATACTGAAAGTTCAATTTTACTTTTTTTTTGTACCAGGGATTAATAAACCCAGGAGCACAACACTAAGCCACGTCCCCAGCCCTTTTTGTCTTTTATTTAGAGAAAGGGTCTCAACTGAATAGCTTAGTGCCTCACCAAGTTGCCAAGACTAGTTTTGAGTTTGTGATCTTCCTGCTTAAGGCTCCCAAGCACTAGCATTACAGGCATGGACCCCAGGAAAATCTTACATTTTTATCTACAAACTCATCAGTTTCCTAAGTAGATCAAGCTTGTATCCAGTTTCTCTTCCCACAATGCATCCTGCATGATGTCTATTACAACCAATGAGAACAAATGATGATTTCAAGATGCATCTCACAAATCATACTAGTAAGCTAAGTGGTCGAGGCTCAGATATGGCATATTAAACATCCATTGATACAAACTGAGTTTTAATTTAACACTTGTACCAAATTCCACAGAAATTCAAGGTGAATGGATACTTTTGAGTTCTTCCAAAAGCATTCATTTCACTTTGGAAAAAATCCTGGGATGCGAGTCACACAGGACCTCTTGGAATATATAGATAGGGTGAGAGTACATTCTGGAATCATGCTGTCAGGGTTCAAATCCCAGCCTATTACTGTGTGACCCTAAAAAAATTAGTTTCCTCTCACTAGTAAAACGGTATTTACACAAAGGGTTGTTGTAAATTATTAAACTTGGTAATATGAAAAAAGAACATATTACCCACCTAAGTAAATACTTGAATTAATTTATTTCACAAAAAAACTGCTGAGGCCATGAAACTGAAAGAATACACTGGGGCCCTAAGGAAGGGCTTGAAGCTAATCAAATTGTTTCCATAAATGCTTCAGGAACACACAACCTGGCATTAACCACTCTGAACACCACAAATATCCAATCCAGAAACAACAACTTCAACAAGAAAACATAAAAAGATATGAAAAATGGTGCATGCCTATATCTGGACCCAGGAGGATATGGCAGGAGGATTACAAGTTCAAGACCAGCCTAAGCTTGTAATGTTTTGAACAACTAATAATAAAAAAGAAAAAAAAAAAAAGACCAGCCTAAGCAACTCTGCAAGACCCTGTCTCCAAAAAGAGAAGGCCATTAGATGTAGCTCGAAGAGTAAAGTGCCCCTGAGTTCAATTCCCAGCACAGACCCCCAAAAGGGAAAGTATACAGAGGTTGCCTTTTCATAAGCCTGAAAACTACATGAAACAAACATGTGGTACCTTGAAAACTGACAAAAAAACAGAGTAGTACTAAATAAGAAAGCATTTTTTATCATCTAAAGAGCAACCTCAAATAACTAAATGCCCAAAAATACAAATTTAGGTTGGTTTAACAAATGTTCTCTAGCTATTTGATAACTGAATAAAGTATGCTTCTACATGCAAACAGGATTGGGGCAGGATGAAGCACAAACAGAAGGACAGCAACCCACTTGAAGATACCATAAAGAATGATCTTAAGGAGCTGAATTAAAATATAAACCAGAATTTTTCCATTCCCAATTTTACAACTTCCCAAATAGTGCCTAATCTGCTTCAGATTTACTGTAAAATTAATTATGGGCTGGGGATGTGGCTCAAGCGGTAACACGCTCACCTGGCATGCATGGGGCGCTGGGTTCGATCCTCAGCACCACATAAAAATAAAATAAAAATGTGTCCACTGAAAAAACTAAAAATTAAATATTAAAAAAATTATCTTAAAAAAAATTATATTCTAATAAATTAGCCACCTGTTAAAGTAGTATTAGCGTTGTTATTTTTCTTGATTTTATTCCCAACACATTTATTTTAAAAAGATAAGTATCCTGCTAAAAAAGGACTAGAAAAGGTTCATTGTTGGCCTCTGTGCCCTGCCAACATTATCTCAACTCAAGCAACATTACTTAGAAATGTTTTAAGCTAGTCCCAACATTAGAACCAAATTAAAGAAATCAAAACTCACCTTTTCTTCCTGGTTTCATTTCACCTTCTGGATCCATCCAATATTCTCTAATATCAATTAGAACTTTCCCTTTAAAATCCCGAACACTGACGTACCTCATTTTTCCAATCTGCAAATAAATAAACAAACATGTACCTCATTTTCCCAATCTGCAAATGAATAAGTTCCCCAAAACATCGAAGTGTTTCTTTTGACAGTGATGTCAGTGGTGTCCATATATTCACCATTTGCTGCAAGCTAACTCTATCTATAATCATGAAAATGATTAATAGTCTCAATATCAAAACCATAATACAAAGAAATCCCTGTTAAAATTATTTTTTAAAAGACAGAATAAAACAAAAGCACACCTCACATTTCCAAACATTTTTAAAATTATAAACAGTAAAAATTTCAGCTGCTATGAAAGGAGTAATGGAGACTACTCAAAAATTAAAACAAGAGTTGGGTGCAGTGGCACATGCCTATAACCTCAGTGGTTCGGGAGGCTGAGGCTAGAGGATTACAAACTCAAAGCCAGGCTCAGCAACCGTGAGGCAGCGAGGCCCTAAGCAACTCAGTGAGATCCTATCTCTAAATAATATAAAAACAGGGCTGGAGATATGACTCAGTGAGTGAGTATTCCTGAGTTCAATCACTGGTATCCCCCCCCAAAAGAAATTAAAACTAGAACTACAATATGATCCAGCAAACCCACTTTGGGATATATAGTATCTTAAATACAGAGCATCTTCCAAAGAATATGTAGTTTGGTAATTTTTGTCACTGTTTGAACTTAAGTGTACATAGACAAACTAAGGTGGTTACAATGTCAGTAGGCAATATAATCTTATGGGACCACCTATTATGTGATTCCTCACTGAATGAAATGCTTTAAGGAGCAGAACTTCATATCCAAAAGAAATGACAGGTCTCCAAGTTATAAATTTGTATATTCATGTTTATAGCTGCACTGTTATTCACAATAGCCCCAAAAAAAATTACTACTCAGTCATAAAAAAGAAATCCTGTCACAACCACAAATACACATTAATCTTGAGTTTGTGTCAAGTGAAACAAGCCACTCATAAAGCAACAGTAATACCATTGATTCGATGTACCTGAGATATTTGAAAAGTCTAAAGCAGTCATAAATCACGGGAAAAAAGTAAAATGTGGTTATTAGGGCAGGGAGAAATAGGAAAGGGAACTAGCATTTAATGTTTTGCAGGAGAAAAAGGTTCTGCAGATCTGTTTCACAACAAGTGAATAAACATTTTTTTATCACAATAAAATCTTTAGTAAGGGCTCAGGCTGTAGCTCAGTGGCAAAGCACTTGTCTAGCATGTGTGAGGCCCTGGGTTTGATCCTTAGCACAATGTTAAAAAAAAAAAAAAAGGCATACTGTCCGTCTAAATCTAAAAATGTAAATAATCCCTATTTATTATTAGTAAGCAAAATCTTCCAGTACAAACTGCATGCAACAAGAATTCATATATTCAGCTAGCTATATTATTTTAACAATAATTCTGAATAGAGGAATACAGAGTTCCAGTCACTAGACAAGAAAGCTTTTCCTTTTGACACTCATTTCAAATAACAACTCTAAGGCATTTTAGTTGCAGTCAAATTGAGAAAACTATCCACACACACACATACACACACACACACACACACACACACACACACAAACAAACAAAAAAAAAAACCCACAATTTTTCAAAACCCTTACACTATTGCTTAACACAAACTACAATTCCAGGGGAAGCAAAACAGGCTTTACTCAACAAAACATCTGTTAACACTTTTCAAGGCTCAGTAAGTATAGTAAGAAAGCGTGTGGTACTAGAGAAAGACATACATACAGGTCAAGGGATTAGAATGCATTTCTTTACACAGAGAAATTAATTCTTTGTGAAATGTTAAGTCTACATGGATCACTAACTTAAAACATGAAAACTATAAAACTTCTAGGAAAAAAATTCTATTAGAAATTTTTGTGGCCACGGAGTATGCAAAATAAGTCTTGGATAGGGAAAAAAAAGCATTAATCAAAAGGGAAAAATTGATAAAATGGACTTAAATTTAACACCTTTCTTTAAATTTAATTCATAAAAGGCAAACCACATACCTGAAAAATATATTTGAAGTCTCACCCATAGACCCTTCAAGTTTCCAAGTAAGACTGAGATAGAACAGTACAGATTCACTACTAAGACAATACTACTGCTGTGGAACAGAAGACTATAGAAAACGATGAGCCTACTAAATCTGTGAAGACCTGATCTCCAAGATGGATAAATGACACAGAGGCCACCTATCTGGGCAGGTCATCTCCCTGAGTCCTGGTATCCATTCATCCATATGATTCTCTCAGGTTCATGTTCTTTCCTCTATTACACTTATTTTTAAACTAGATTGCTGTTTAAAGACAAGAATTTCCCCTTAAGTTTAAAAACAAAAAGAAAATATTCACTGTACTTTAACAAAAGATTTCCAAAATACTGTTACAATTTGGTAAGTAAAAAGACCTAGCTGTTAAAAAGAAAAAGGAAAGAGCGGAACAGATTCTTCTTAAAAGATATAAAAGCAGCCAATAAACGTGATCAAAGATTTGAAATGAATTAAGACATTTGGGAAATGAGAGTGAAACCACAATGAGCTGCTACTACTACCATACACTCATTAACTAAAATGGATAAAACTGAAGACTAACACTACCCAGTGAGGACATGGAGCAACTCAAATCTCACATGTGCTTATGGCTGTTTAAATGGTACAGCTGCTTGAAAAACAATTTGTTATTTTCTTATCAAGTTACACACATATCCTGCCCATGATCCAGCAAATACATCTGGTTTGTACATCCAAATGGTCCTGCAGAAAGACCTGTCTGTTTGAGAATACTCAGATTTATTCCTAGTAGGCCAAGACTTCACACCAGAATGTCCAAGGAAAATGGATAAACAAACTGGAGAATAAACATGAAGAATACATTAAGGAACCAACTACTGAAAGACATAAGGATCAATCTCAACACATTATACAAAAAGAAGCCAGACACACACCCAAAGACAGACCATATGACTCCATTTATCTGAAGTTCTAGAACAGGGAAAATATATCCACATTGATAGGAGTAAGACCAGTTATTCCATGAGGCAGAGATATAACTGTAACAGGAAGACCAAGACAGAAGCCTTGAGGGTGATGAAAATGTGCTGAAAACAAGACTGCATAAATTTATCACAGCTCATCAATTTATGCTTTTTATATAACTTATATGCACATAAATTGTACCTCAATAATATTTTTTAAAAGATGAACTCGTTTAACACCAACCTCTCCCCATGAGGAAAAATGAATAAAATTCACAAATTCTTACAAAACACTAAAGAAGAAAAAAAAAATGATGAGGAGACATTAGAATAGGAATATACTAATTAAAGGTAGAAAAACTGTCCTTGCAATCACATTTCACAGTAAGAAATAACAGAATCAGAATACAGAATATACATATTTTTACATCTGCTTGTCATCTGGAGACTAACAGGAAAAAAATAGCATTTTTATCAACAGAAGTGTGATTCTTAAAAAAAAAAAAATTTTTTTTGATTCCCCAATTCTTTGAAAACCTGATAAACGCTATGGGTTATGAGGTTATGAATAATCCTTTCACGTAATATCATGACTCTTAAGGCCACCATTCATGCCCTTCTCCAAGTCAAAAAAACATTTGACTCAATGATTACTTTAAAAATAATTTCAAGGCTGGCAATGTAATTCAGTAGTACAGCACTTGTTTAGCATGCACGAGGCCCTACATTCAATCCCTGGTGCCTCAAAATAAATAAAAGGTGATTTTAAAGTATCCAGTTTTACCCTTAAATCACAAATCAATTAAGACAGCAATACTGACCATTTGCACCTAATTCTAAAGAAAATATAAATGAAAGTCCTTGCCTCAAACATCCTGACCTTTCAAAAGACAGTACTGAGGGATTACAAGATAGCTCTTTCATCAGCCTTTTTTAATCAGATGTCATCTCAGGCCAGTTATTTCCCTATAGAATCCAGTCCTCAAAATTCAGAACTGAAGAAATCTGAAGGCAAGCATCTAGGAATATTTCCTTATTAGTCAGAATCCTGATCAAATCATTCCAGAGTTTAAAATGATAGTGTAACCATTTGGGGATGTCCAACTCTCTTCAAATATTAGCGTTGCTTACATTTGATAAACATCACCTTTCCAGAATTTATGACTTCCATAGTTCTAGTCTCAAGATATAGATATCTAGCTTTAAAAAAAAAAAAAAAGAAAGAAAAAATCCTGTCTTAAAACTAACTAAACCAATACCCCAGCTATTTTAATTTGGATTTCAGATCTGTTTTGGCAAAGTATGTCTCAAAGATTCTAATATACTCTCAAAGATTCTAATTTGAACACCTTGCAAAATCCAAAAAAGCTCTACTCTGTGGCTGTCTTTAAAGCACTTTAGTAAATACAAAAACATACAGCTCTATTTAAAAAAAAAAAAAAGTATAAAATACAGTGGGGTTACTGTTTTTCCTTCCAAAATCCTCATCCTTCATCCATCTTCCTAACAATCAAACAATTTTTACTAGCAAAAATAAAGGCCTCATTTAATATTATAAAATCAATATACTCCAATGTGTTCTTAAAATGATTAAAATTCAGTATAAGCATTAAAAAGTTTTCTATGGCCAAAAATCCATTTCAATAAAAAAGGTATCATGGCAATAAAATTAAATATCACATATCTCTTAGACTGTCTACACTAGATCTGTAGAAGACCTTTGAAAGTAAGTAAGGCCTTTGGGTTCTCCTACAGGCGAATTTTCAAAAGGTGCAGTATTTAATGGACTTAGGATGCCTAGGAACCTTTAAAATGAGGATTCAAGAACTGAAGTTCTTTATCGTGTCAGGAAGCTGGGGTAGGAAGATTACAAGATTGAAGCCAATTTGGGCAACTAACAATATCCTATCTAAAACAAGGGATAGAACTCAGGGGCACTTAACCACTGAGCTACATCCCCAGCCCTTTCTTGTATTTTTTTAAATTTAGAAACAGTTGCTTAATGCCTCCCTAAGCTGCTGCGGCTGGCTCTGAACTCAATATCCTCCTGCCTCAGCCTCCCATGTTGCTGAGATTACAGGCCTGTGCCACCATGCCCAGCTCAAAAAAAAATTTTTAAGGGCTGGGAAATTAACAGAGCTCCCCTGGGTTCAATCCCCAGTACCACACAAAAGAACTGAACTGTTTTTTAGGAGGAGAAAAACCACCCCCTAAAAATAGATCTGTTTTTCACAAAAGTACTCTAACAAAATAGAATCTCTAAAATGTGGGTCCTGGCTTCTTTATAAAATTAGAGATGGTGTGGGCAAGACTAAAGCCCCCTCAAATGTCAAAGATGCTTCATTATTATACAAGCAAAAGTATGCATAACGTGAGAGAAAAGCCCAAGAAACTTGCCTAGCAAATATTTTAAAATATTAAAATATTCCAAAGCAGTCCTTCCTTTTCCACAGAAGTGAATTATTCAGCCTTCTCGGGAATTCAATCTCCAACCTATACTTTTAGCCAGACTTTCAGGCTCAAATCACAAAGGTTTTGTAATTCCTATAAAAATCCAAGATCTTTCCCACTTTAAGTTATTCACGTAATTCCCCTCACTTGGAAAATGCTTCCTGCTTCCAATTTGCAAGGTTAGCTCCTCCTCCATTTCTTAAGGATTACATATCACTTCCTTAGAATAAAATACCCAGAACACCTACTCTCTCATAATAGAATCTGCCCCTTTAGTTCTCTGCCCTTATCAAAATTTTAACTACACATGTGTTTATCTGTATAATTTCTGTTCCCATAAATTCTAGGAAGGTACAGACCACATCTACTTTGTTCACCACTGCAATCCAGAACCTGGCAAGGCCTGAATAAAACAGAAAACACAGTAACCATTCAATTTATTTTCTATTCAAAGCAATGAGGGCTCACATAATTCTTCCTCACATTTACTCACATTCTCTTATAAAAATAACCTACTCTGCCCTTTGTTCCTCTGTTACACATTCACCAGAGGATTCAAATCTATAACTAAACAATTCACCTGCATTTTGTCTCTTTTCTTTCTCCACATTATTACAAAGTATTTCAAAGCAAAAATGAAAAAAAATTCAACTTCTATATTTCACTATATGTTTATCCTAGCACTACATCTTTCAAAGCCATCAGCAGGTCAAAAGTACAGACCAATCTAATTTTCTAATCAAATAAATATGTATAGTCATATTCTGTCCAACTTTTGACTTCAATTAATAGCTATGCCTCCTTGAAACACTTATCCTTTTTTTGCTCTTAATTTTCTTTCACCATCTCCTCTTGACCTACATTCTCTTTCTTCTTCCATCTTCTACCTGAATATCAACAAAGACATAATCTTATCAACTTCTCTTTTCTCTGGTTTAAGCTTTCTTTCTTTCAGTGGATGGCTTTAGTCAACCATGCTGATGGCCCGCCCAAGACTTCCAGGAGGTTCTACTTATTTTGTTATATTTACAATCAGGTCCAACTCCTAGATGATGGTTCTCTAGTCCCCTGTTCCTCATCAGTATCTTTGTCATCATCACTATTTCTCCCTTAGGGAAAAACCACCGTACCCTTACTACATACAGATTAAAGTCTACAACTATCTCAGCAATCTTACCAGTAACCATTTATCACTAATTCCTCTTCCCTCACAAAGGCCAATTTCAAGTCTCCCTAAAAACATAAGAAACCCAAGAAAAGAAGCTATGCTAGTCCTCTGCCGGTGATTTCATCAAATCCTTAATAACCTTCCCTGACTTTACCTATTCAAGCCACTCTCCTTTTCTGTTAGACATGTCATATTGCTGTTTCTCCTAAAATAATATCTTAATCCATACTTCACAGTCCAGTACTTAACCTACCTCTTCCAAGTTTCTTCCTTAAATGTGAAGTTCTCAGTCTCTTTTGGGGGATTTCTATACCATTTGAATTTGCATTGTTTTAAATATAGCAAAACTACAAAACTTTAACAATAACCCAGCATCATATAAATTTCTTTCATTTCTCACTTGTTCTCTCATCTTAATAGTCTTATTCAAGAGGATTATCACACACAAAAGGGCTTTCTGCAACATAGATCAAAATAGTTTTAACATTCTTCTAATCAAGTGAAACAATAATCCTCTGACTCTAAGGAAATGACCAACTTTACCTGAAACATATTATCATCTCTGCTGCTGCTGCTCTGTTTGGAAGATGACAGAGCTCTCGAAGTTTCACCAGTCTTTTGCTTCTTTACAGGTTTTTCTGGAGCAACTTGCTTTTTCCTCTTTAACTTGAAAGAAAAAGAACATGATAAAATTTGCTACATTCTTATTTAAAAAAAAACTCAAGTTAAAAAAATTATGTTACTTTTAGAGATTCAGAAGACCACATTCGTTGTGTAAGAAAAAAAACAAAGTTTCACTCAACAATAGAACCATGAATTTAACCTATGTGTTTATCTAATAATGTTTTCAAACCCTCTTTTCACAATCACAGAAGATACTTCAGGCACTAGGTTTTAGCCAGAGGACAGGTATTTTGTAGAGTGGGATCATACAAAAAGAATTCATTGTAAGATGACAGGGGGAAAAAAAAAAATGGAAACCCACTGCTTTTGCATAAAACTTCTGGAAACCAAAGATCTACCAAAGCTCAACAATTACTTTTTTTTTTTTTAAACAATGGAGGTATACTTATTAAGAATGCTGCCAATTTACTCCATTTCTGGGAAACATTTACTTATGCCCTGCCTATTCCAAAGGAGATTTAAACTGGTTTAAGGAACATATAGTTAGGCAAAGCTAAAGCATTATTTGGCTGGGTGCAATGGCACATGCCTGTAATACTAGCAGCTCAGGAGGCTGAAGGAGGTGGATCACAAGTTCAAAGCCAGCCTGAGCAATTAAGCAAAGCCCTAAGCAACTTAGTGAGACCCCATCTCAAAAAAGAATCAATAAAAAGGGCTGGGGAGTGTTAAGTGCCTCTGGGTTCAATTCCTGGAAAAAAATATATTATTTTGTACCAGGCACTGAACATGAACAAATCAAGAACGTCCTCTTTACAACTTAAAAAAAAAAAAAAAGCCCCTGAAGATAGTAACGTGTTAAGACTAGAATTCAAAATCTGCTTAAATTATTATAAAAGCTTTTTACATAGTCTTATTCTCAAAATAAGTTAACAAGCTGGATGTAGTGGTGCACACCTATAGTTCCAGCTTCTTGGGAGGCTGAGACAAAAGGATCACTTAAGCCCAAGAGTTTGGAACCAACCTGGGCAACAGGGTAAGACCCCATTCCCATCCATCCCCCCCCACACACACCCAAAAAAGCTAATTACTAATAAACCACTAGTTTCCCAGCTCAAACAGTAGAGGGCAGTCATGTACCTTCTTAGTGGTAAAGTGTAAACTAATATTTTAATTTGCTAAATTAATGTACTAAATTAGTTGAAACCAGGTAATACTATTCACATATAGGTGTTTATGAAATTTCAAAAAATGATGTATTTAATATAAATGTTCACAAGGTTAATACTACTATTTGAATTTGAGACAAATGGCAAAAATAAAATAAATTATTCTTTAAATCAAGATCTAAGTATTCTCTATTGAATAATGTATGCGTGGTAGAGCAAAGTTCAATACAAATTTGTTATATGAACATACTCAAATGCTATACTAATATAAATTTTTAAATTAAGAAATTCACTCAATTCACCATTATCTCTCTGAATCCTTACTCTAAAATTGAGGTGATGTTATATTCTGTACTTACACTTGAAGGATCCAACTTCTCTAAGATTCTCCCATAAGCTCTCCCTTTTCTCCTAGCTAGTACTGCTTGGGGAATGGGGCATGAGGGGCCCGCTGCTAAATAAAGTATAAAATCTTAGAAACCACAAGATCTATAAAAGCTAATTACTTATTTTCACAAAGGAAATATAGTAATTAGGAAGAAAGCCATCAACTAATTCCATTTCTAGGATATGAATGTTTATTCATATATGTAAACATCTATAAGAATAGGTCTGTGTGGAAGGAAGTCTTGACCGCAGCAAGTGAGATGCTCCGTTATGCTCCATTGAGATGCTCAGTTAAGTGGAATGCAGAGTTTACAGAGCAGTTGTCATCTAATGCAGAAAAAGCCCATTCTGTGAAAATGGGTTGATTCACCACATCAGCTTTGCTGGAAGATAATTAAACTAAAAGGAAGGAATGAGAGCAAATAATATTCAAACTTAAAATGTAGCAAGCCCAAAATTCAGTAATACTTGTGGGCAAATAAACACAGATGACTGAGAATGCTGGCATTTAAAAATTCAGCTAATTCGACAATTACTACAAATAATATCTACAGATTAGTCACATTTCTGAATAACAGCAAGTAGTATCTTTGGCCTAATTAGAATTCTATTCCCCTAGAGTCAGTCTACGGAAATTATTCTAAGGTTTCTAAAGGTTCTCAATAAAGATTTTGTTAAGTAGAATGTAGGTCTAAATCTGTACCTTCAAGTCAGCAGGTATGGATGTACAAAAAATCATACTAAGTACTTTTAGTCAAATGATCCAAAGGTCATTCTGCATTTTCAGAAACTCACAGATTTTCATGTTAGTACTGGGTTATGCCTTTTACTATCTCTTAGAAATAGATGTGGGCAATATTGCTAAATCAAGCATCACAAAAATGACCTGATGCAGTAATAGTCACCTTTTTCTCAACTTCACTGTCAGAATCACTTCCCGATGAGCTTGAAGAAACAAGTTCCTTTGATTTAGGCATTCTGAAAAAAAAAATGCATTATGTAAATAAGTTACAAATAGCTCTACCACCTTCAAAAAAGAACAAGTTTCTTGGTTCATTCTACCATCTTATGGCACTAAAGTTGCTATATTGAACACAAAGGTTCATTAACAAGGGTTAACCTACATTCTTGACAAGCAGAGTGAAATGTTCTGAACCTAGTTATGAGAAAGAACTAAATTCACCTTTTATCTTGTTCAAAGTCAATGGGTCTTTTCAATGCTTCATTATAGAAGGATCATAAGTTTATGGAAGGGTAGAGTCAAGAAAGCAGCTTACAATTACTGTTAAAACCAGAAGACATGTACATAATTCTATTTAGTACTACTGTACACTTCTCACTAGATATCAGACTAGAGATCACTGAAAATGGACCTCAACATTAACACAACACAGGAATCAGCTGTACTACACAAATGTGATATCTAATTAATTTTGCCATTAGAGTCATATCTTTTACCTATTCTGTATGTTAATTTTAAATTTTTGGCAACACTATCAGAATAACAGGTACTAATTCAGAGTTCACAAAGTTATCCATAATTCGACTTTACCCTCATTTTTCTACTTGGAAATAAATTTGAACAATATGTTTCTGTGAAAGGCAAAACCCCCTACACAGATAATCTAGTGCTTTGCTTATAAATGGATGTTTACTTAGTGTCTAAGCATAAAGCAGAGAGCAGAGGCTTTTGCCTAAATCTCAAATCTCCTGGAAATCCAAGGCATGTGGGTACCTCTTTTAAGGAACTTTTATAACCAGATGTTAAAATGCTAATCATCAAATTGCCTTTAGCTCCCTCCAGGTCTGAAGAGTCTAGGTCCTTATTAAATTTTTGCATGCCCTAAAGGGCCTAATAAACACAACACACTCTGTAAATATTGAATATAGGGGGAAAAGACTTGAATTTTTCCTCAAAAAAATTCATAATCTAGCTCTGTATATTAAAATTGCATTGGCACTGGCACTGACTGTTTCACAATAAGAGGTCAAGGTTGAAAAAAAAGTGGGCCATCTCAATCCTGACCATGAAATTCAAAAAAGCTCAAATCGTGCCCAACCCGACCATGCAGATTTTAATAAGTAATTTCTTAAAAATGAAAAAAGCAAATTCAGAGGGAAACAGCATCATTCATAACCAAGTTTCATATGGTTTTCCTGTTGTTGCTCCATTTTACAACCTAATCTCCAAAATCAATTTAGCTCAGTTTTCTATGCTCACTAATAGAGCTGCCCCCCGCCAAAAAAAAAACCTTTCTAAGATGCAATTGAATATAATCTATTTTTCACTTGCAATCAATCAACCATAACTATCGTCTATTAGCCAAAGCTGCCTGGGACCTAACACCATTTCAAAGAACTACCTCTTATTTAACTCAAATTAAGTCCATTCAAGAAGAAAGCAAGGGAGGGTGGCTAAAGCCAGCCTCTAAACTTTTGACAAAATATATCGTTACTTAAGCTTAATGAGGTTTTACTGTTCCAAAGGATGGGACGAGCGCATAATTCTGGCAAATGGTAAGTAAAGAAACTATTATAGAATCATGTACAAGACGCAAACAAAAAAAATCTTCAGCCTTTGCTAACCGCGTGGAGGAGGATTAGAGAAAACGTGGTTAAGACAAACTAGGACTGACGGGCACAGGATTGCGTACAAAGGTGCCAAGAACAGAGACAGAGAAGGGGGTCGCGCGCTGCCAGGAAGCTACTAGAACCAAGGGGCTGGAAACGGCTGGGGCGAGGGGAGGCAGGTCGGTCGGAGGGGGCGTGGGAGGCGGCGAAGTGCGGAGGAGACGGCGTGGGAAGGGGAGGGACTTGCACCAAGCGCCATTTTCTCCTCTCGCTGCGTTCCGCCGCCCCGCAAGCCAGCCATCTTCCCCCACAACCCCCTCCCCACCGCGTCCGCTCTCACCCTTCCCCACAGCGCCCCGCTCCCTTAGCGGCCAGAGTGAGGGCCCAGGGAGGCCTTGGCGGGGGCAGGCCTCGCACGCGCTCCGGCCGTCGCCCCATTGTCCCGGGG